AGGGTTGGTTGTTGTAGGGTTCCAAGAGGCTGCCATGAGGTGGTAATGCATTCCGTATGCTTTATGAGCCGCTTCAAGCTGAGATTGAAATTTAGAGAGTGCGAAATTAGTGTGGGTGAAAGCCACGTATTGAAAGATGAAGGCCTACTGAAGAGTGTATTTGTTCGATTGTTTCAATCCCTTTCGCTTGATACTTCGCCCTATGAGTTGCGTGCCGGCTCAAGGCCAGATGATCTTTGACCTTTTTGACGTTTATGAGTCTTTCAAAGACCGGGCGATGTTCTTCTTCTTCAGCAGTTAGTAGTTCATGCGGTTGAAGGTGAGCAGGATCATTTGAGATCACAAGGGCGATGCGATCGAAGAGGGTCTTTTGGAAAATTACAACATCTGGTGTTGAAAAGCGACAAATCTCCTTTGTCGAGATACCTGAATTCCTGAATTCCCGTGACAGTTTCTAGAAGTGAGTCTCAATCACTTCTCGTCACAATACCTGAAACACTAACCTGAATTCCCGTGACAGTTTCTAGAAGTGAGTCTCAATCACTTCTCGTCACAATACCTGAAACACTAACCTATAAGGTTTGTTCAGGTCACAATATAAAATAAGGAAAAGGGTCGACGCGATGAGTTCAGTAAGATCTAGCGTTGACAATGATTCAGATGAAAAAGAAAAAGATAACATCACAGTATGATAATTAGTAACAGTCATATTGAAAATCAAACTAATGGAGAGTAGAGACTATTGATGATAATGTAGTGAAGGGGTTGAACTTACTCTTTTCCTTTCCGTAAGAAGACGGATAAAGGAAAAGAGTATTAGCGCGAAAAGGGGGAGGCGCAATTTAAATAGGGATCATTTAAGTTTGAGTCTGACATCTTAAGTTTGAATAAAACTACTGTATTTTAGTATGTAAAGTGATTTGATACTTAGAGTCTTATTCACCTTTCACCACGGCTGAAACCTAGGTACGAGAGACTGAGGTGTCTCTCAACACACCCCCTGTTTCAGCTGTCCGTGTATGACTTCTAAACCAATTTGATGACGCAATTCCTTGAATGGTCCGGGGTGAAGTGGTTTTGTTAATGTATCAGCAAACATGTTCTTTGTACTAATATGCCTAAGCTTGATTAAATTCTTCTCCACTTGTTCTCTTATCCAATGGTACTGCACTTCTATGTGCTTTGTTCTTGCGTGAAAAATAGCTTTCTTGGTCAAGGATACTGCACCTGTACTATCGCTGCATAGAACCGTGGCTTCAGATTGAGGTAGTGAGATGTTTGACAATAATCCTCTAAGCCATACTACTTCTTGACCAGCCTCTGTTGTAGCTTTGTATTCGGCCTCGGTTGATGATAGAGAAACGGTGGGCTGTAAACGACTTTTCCAACTTACAGCAGCTCCGTTAAGTTTGAATAGATAACCGGTAGTTGATCGTCGTGTGTTCGGATCACCAGCCCAATCTGAATCAGTGTGGCATTCAGGATAGCACCAGCTCTGATTCCCTTCGATAACATTGTCTTGAGGTGAATAATGTAGTCCTAAGCATTGAGTACCTTTCAAATATCGAAGTACGTGTAATCCCATCTGCCAGGCTATAGTTGAAGGTCGTGAAAGATGTTGAGACAGAGCACCTACTGCATAAGCAATATCCGGCCTTGTACCCTGAGCAATGTACATTAGGCTACCCACCAAGCTGTTATACGGAAGGTTAGATTGTTTGAATTCGATAACGTCAGAGTCGGTGGCTTTCATGATCTTTGTGCCGCCTGGAAAAGGAGTCGAAGCTGGTTTGCTATCTTCAGCATGAAATCTTTCCAGTACTGTCTGGATGAAAGCTGATTGACTTAAAGCATAACCCCCATTGTCTGTGGAGTAGATCTCAATACCAACAACGCAATGTGCCGGACCCAAGTCCTCCATCTTCCACTTCATCTTCAGCAGGGATTTGATTTCATCTATTTTATCTCCGGTGATTGCCATATCATCGACGTGGAGGTAGAGTAAAGTTTCCAAACCTTCTTCATCTTTACCATACCAAAGACAAGCATCATGGGGGTTTTGAATTAGACCAATACTTAATAATTTATCTTTAACTTCGTCACTCCAGCATCTAGCGGACTGCTTGAGGCCATACAACGCTTTCTTCAGTCTAGCTACCTTCCCGTTTGCTCGCTCAGAGTCGTATCCTTCAGGCAACTCCAGATAAATTTCCTCCTTGAGATCACTATTGAGAAATGCGGCTATAGCATCCATTTGCTCAATAGACCAATTCTTAGCTGCTGCAACTGCTACAAGGATACGAAATGAAGCTAGACGGCCAGTGGGTGCGAAAGTATCATTGAAATCTATGCCTTCCGTTTGAGTATAACCTTTTGCTACATATCTTGCCTTATGTTTAGATATTGTACCATCGGGATGAACTTTATATTTGAAATGCCAACGCCCACCTACTACAGGTGCATTCTTTGGTCGGTCCACAATTTCCCACACTCCCATGTTCATAATGTTCTGCATCTCCTTGTCACACGCAGCTTTCCATTTGTCAGCATCGGGCATCTTCATAGCCATTTTATAACTCTTTGGTTCAGCCCTAGCCTTCATAGC